AACTGTTAACATTCAATGACTAGCCATTTTTAGTCATTTGTTACTAGTTTACTGAAATGTTAACATTCAATGACTAGCCATTTTTAGTCATTTGTTACTAGTTTACTGAACTGTTAACATTCAATGACCAGCCATTTTTAGTCATTTGTTACTAGTTTACTGAACTGTTAACATTCAATGATCAGCCAATTTTAGTCATTTTTTACTAGTTCACTGAACTGTTAACATTCAACGACCAGCCATTTTTAGTCATTTGTTACTAGTTTACTGAACTGTTAACATTCAATGACCAGCCATTTTTAGTCATTTGTTACTAGTTTACTGAACTGTTAACATTCAATGACCAGCCATTTTTAGTCATTCTTTACTAGTTTACTGAACTGTTAACATTCAATGACCAGCCATTTTTAGTCATTTTTTACTGGTTCACTGAACTGTTAACATTCAAAAACCAGTCATTCTTTACCAAATCCATGAAGATGTTTAGATGTTGGTTATTCTTAAGTAGTTATATGCTGGTTGGATAATGTATTCACCAGTCATACTTCATTATAAAATATTAGTTCCATGCTGGTGGTGTAACATTTAATTTTAGCAACACGTTTTCTGCTGCATCTGAAGATTCCTATTCTATTTGTAAGCCATAACTTGTTAACTCCTTTATAAATAACACTGATACAAATATATCACAAAATATTTACAAACGTTCATTATCTCGTACTATTTTTACAGATTGGATACTATGATCAATTTAGTTTTCTACGTAATATTGAAGTCTAGATTAAATATTCGTTTACTGATAAAGAAAAAAAAATCTTTGGAATATTACAGCTATAATTTGTTACTGTTTTTCTGCTTTACAGTCATTAGCTTTTGCCAACGTAATGGCGCACAGCAGGCGCCGTCGAATGATTTAACTCCAACTTGGTTATGGGTACCATACGTCCTTTAGTAAAGAAAAGTACTACTAGATCTACGACTACAATATGAAATCCATACGACAGTCTTACGAAGTCTTATGTCTAATGCTTTCACAAAAGCTAAATTTCGCGGAATATTAAAAAACATCAAGAGATCGCAAACTTACATCGAAATTTTACAAAAATCAAAAGTGAATCAATAATGATTTATACTTGTTTGTCACTATGTTTAAATACTTTGCAACTAATGGGAACAAGTCTATTTTTAGATTTTTTAAGCAATATTACAAATCAGGTTCACCAAACTATTTGAAGAAGATCTGACATATTGAAACTTACTAAGTAAGACCGTGTTGCGGATAAGATGATCATCCACATATCCACTTGAACACCTGATATTTTAGTGATCCGCTTTGCTCAAGTGCAGGCAAAAAACAATAATCACCTTTTAAAGAGTTTTCTTGTCTTATGACATAAAGTACCTCTGGATAAAATGATCGAATCTTGAAGGTGACGACGTTACGCAACTTTAGGTCAATGCTGGTGTTCCTGTTCAGGTCTGTGCCCAAAACTATAACAGAATATAATGAAGCTTTGTATCCAACACAGAACAGTTAATTTGCTTTACTACGATGTTGAACATTAGACTTCTAATATATGGCTGAAGAACCACAATCACACAATTCTTACTTTTATATCTAAATATTGGCAGAAGTGTCGAACGTGTACCTAACTTTACTATCAATGTGAGCAATAAATTATGATAAAACTTGGAAATATAAACTTTCTTTGTCTTTAAACATGAGCCTTTGGAACTGTATCTTGGTATTTGGACAAATCATCATGGATAGCCGTCAGTGATTTGTATATGAACTTGAAAGAAGGTCTGTTGCTGGGCTTTTTGGTCCAACAATTCTTCATTAGGTTGTAGATAGATGGAGGAGTGTTGTCCGGACAGGACAAAATATTACCGTCCTGAACATACTTGACCACTTCCTCGTGGGTCAAACCATAATAAGGCTGAAGAGCGAAGGAAAAAATCTCCCACAATACCACCCCAAAAGCCCAGACGTCAGACTCTACCGTGAATTTATTGTAAAGAATAGACTCTATAGGCATCCACCTGATTGGAATAGCATCGTGCTCGTTACCCTTGTAGTAGTTAGTGGTGTAAATTTTCTGTGAGAGTCCAAAGTCTGAAATTTTTACAACCATTTCATCACTGACTAGACAATTCCTCGTAGCCAGATCTCGATGCACGAATTTCCTGCCAGATAAGTAAACCATCCCTGCAGCGATCTGTTTTGCAAGACTTACAAGGTCGAGATGACAAAGTCTAACATCACTAAACATGTCACCATTTGGAGTCCGAACAATGTAGTTACTTGGGGCACAAGATCTAAGGAATTCATTCAAATCACCTTTTCCCATGAATTCAAACAGCAAGCACATTGGTTTACCAATGGCACAGACACCCAGTAGCTTGACAATATTGGGGTGGTCAAAGTCAGCCAATAGGCATGCTTCTCGTTCAAAATCTGTTTGAAGATCTTCTGCAGCTTCCTCCTTAAGCATCTTAACAGCAATCATAGTAAATTCTTCCCCCTTAACCAGACCCGGAGCCTTGGCCTGAAAGACCCGCCCAAAGGCTCCCTGCCCAATGTCCCGGATATAGATGATGTCGTTACGAGGGTATTCTAGTGTCTCCAATTTAGGATTCAACTGTACGTTTGTTTTATGATAAGACATATTGGATGGAAGTTTGTCTAAGTCAATCTCAACGTCAGCTGTAGGTGTGGCATTGTAGCCTTTGTGGAACTTGTGGAGTCGCCGACAACAGAGGATTATGACCAGGATAATGGCCAAGCCTGCAATACTGACGGCGCACACGATGAGAATAAAGGAAGGGGAAAAAACTGGTTCTTCTGGAGGTTTAAACGTGTCCAGTAGTTCATTTTTGATTTCGTCTTCAAGTGTGGCATTTGCTGAGTGATATACAGAAAATACAACTTAGCACATTCATTTCCACAAACAACTGTTTAATTAGGCAATAAAATTCAATCAGGAAAAACTTTTATTTAAAACAGACAAGAAATATTGACTTATGTGGGAGGGAAAAGATTACTGCTTGTATACTAGCCTCTAATTGGATTGCGATTACTAAAGATAACCTATTAATGGTCAAACTTTTCCTACATACCACACTTAGGAATATCACAGTGTTGCCACCGAACCATTGGGTCCATTGTGTAGCACCATGGCCTTGGTTCTTCACCACCAGCATTTCGACAGAAATTTTCCGAGTTTAGAACCTCCGGAAAAACCATGGGAGGGCGATGATGTTTATGGGGTTCCTAGATAAAGTACATATGAAGATTAGTACATTTGAACAATAACTGAACCAAAAAAAACATCGAGAAATTACCTCTGGAAATTTTAATACACTGCATAGAATCTTCATCTTGCAAGCATATACAAAACATACCAAATTTTATCTTATATCATTGGTCTGACTAATATTTGCTACTAAGTCCAGAAGATGGAGATTCTATTCCTATAGTTATCATCAAGTTTGAAGCGTTCATTAACATGACAAAAAAACTTTTGGCACCCATACAGAGTAAAAACGCCAAAAGCAATCTTAGTAATGAGCTCTGCTAGGATTTAAAACACAGAAAAATCTTCTTTAAGCATTCTGTATACGGTGGTAAAAACAAAAGATGTTGAACAAAAAATTAAAATTAACTATTAAAATAGTGTATAAACTTTGCATATAGATATATCACCACAGAATTTTACTTTTCTGATGGCGTATTGGGTTTCTATTTTTGCTCTATTTTTGAGTGATTACCTACTTAAAAGTCTTATAACCTCACAAGCATTGTTGAAAGAAAGGTTTATGATTAAATACAGAAGTCATCTAAAAGTGAAGATACATATCAATATCAGACCACCCCCCCCCACCCCCGAGATTTGAAACTCGGACCAATCGAGAAAATAAAAACGGGACATCAGTACAGTGGCCAGCTTAAGCTAAATGAATTAACCCACTATCCACTACTAATAGGATACATTTTTTAAATTTATGTAGACTCCGATTTTTCGGCCATCACAAAATACACCAGCTGGTCGTTTTATTAAGACTTCCCATTATATGTAGAACGTTCAATTTTGTTGAATATGTAGAGGTGAAATAATATTATGGTTAGTCTAAAAGATAATGGGTAAGAGCATGTATCTCTCCAACTTAAAAGGAGCATGATAACAGCTGTCCGTTAAGCATTAGCGAAATTATTAATTACTCCTAATCAAGGCAAGCCAACTGAATAAATACCTAATAACGATTAATAAACAAAGGACTTAATTCTGTTCACCGGTATAACTAAGAGTATGTGATGTCATAAAATAAATCACATTAAAATTAAGACTTATAATTATTAAAGGGCACTGATTTATCATTTGGGTTCTTACTGCTCAAATATATCTGAAATGAGGCTCTCAACATAAGTGTTTGAAAAAGATACATTTGCTAGTAAGAAAAGCTGTAGTTATTAACTGTGATCTAAGTTACTTCAACAGTGGCAAGGCAGACAACAACAAGTTTACCTCAGATGCAATCAAGCTATTTTACTCATAGTGTCTGAAACGGATTGTAAGAGTAATTTCATCCATTTTTTTATTAACACAGTTACCAGATCACAGTCTGATTGTGATAAACCTGAATGTTGCACACGTCACTACAATCCTCTGTCTAGACTCTAGATCTATGAAAAAATAATACTTGCCGGTATCTTGGGAAGTCTGTTTATGATACCACGCGTCTAGGCTAGTATTGAGGAAAAGCTTAGTCCAACTAAATATTATGTTGTGGATATGTAACATTGAAACTGACAAATTTCAAACAAATTATATAAAAAACAAGAGCTATATGGGTGTGAAATTATTCTCATTTTACTGGATTTGCAACTGCTATAAGATACCTTTTCACAGTATTGTGAATCAATTGTTGCTTATTTGAAAACTATTCACTATTTAACCACTACATATAGGTACATAGTCAAAGAGTACTTGCTACACTTTAAATGTGAATAACAATAAAGATAAACATTTTAGCAGACTGTTGGATTTTCATGCTATTTACCTAGGGCTTTATATATAAATTTCTTATATTTTCTAGTATTTTACTGTGCGTATTTAAAAGATATGAAGTAAATATTCACTTTTCTACTGTCCCGTCGACAGGGGTATTGTTTTCACTCCTCTATGTGTATGTGTGAATGCTATAACTCAAAATATTTTCATCTTATTTGGATCAAGTTTCATATAACGGCTGAGAGAGTTCTTCAATGACCAACTGATTAAATGTTGTTAAATGTAGCTTAAAGGTAAAGGTCACATTGAAGGTCAACCACCATTTCAAAAACGGCCAAACTCTAAAAGAGCGTGAGTAAGAGCAAGGATCTCTTCAACTTTAAAAGAAGCGTGATAATAGATATCCCTCTAGCTTCTTGATAGCAATCATGGTAAATTCTTCTCCCTTTACCAGACCTGGAGCCTTGACCTAAAAGACCCGCGCAAAGGTTCCCTGCCCAATGTCCTGGATATAGATGATATCGTTACGAGGATATTCAACCATTTTATATCAAACATAATACAAAAATAATAAATAAAAAATAAAGTTACATTTTAAGCTTAATAAAGACTTCAGAAACAAAATAAAAAATAATTTCAACTACACTGCAAACTTAAATGTCGAAGCAAGATTTAAAAGCAAAGCAAAACATTGAACTCTAGCATTATGCTAGATGCAACAAATTGTGAGGTCGCATACTAACTATAACTATAAACGTTGAAATAAAAAATAAATCTAACACCAGATTGAAATAGCATCTCTAAATTTCTGAGTAAAACTGGATTGAGAGGTTCTGCGATTAAACCATTCGTCTATATAGGTTAATGCTATACGTGCAGATGTCAACTTTAGTACCTTCCTTTCTCTATTTTATCCATTCTACAAAAGATAAGAGTTACAGACGTCAATGCCAGAATTTAAAAGGCTCTCTAAAGCTTCTGTCAAAGCATAAAAAGGAAATGTGAACAACGTTATATTGAAGGTTGAATTTATATAATGCCCCTAAGGCGAAAGTCGTAAAGATACTGAACTAAGCTCTGTGATAAGACGTTTTCATCACCAATATCCTGGTGACTTGTTAATATGTACAGAAACACCTTCACTACTCGTAAGAAGTAATCGACAAAAAGTAATGCCATTGGGTAAGTTTGTTTGTTTGTAGGTATGCAAAAAGCTACACAATGGGCTATCTGTGCTCTGCCCACCACGGGTATCGAAACCCGGTTTCTAGCATTGTAAGTCCACTGACATACCGCTGCGCCACTAGGGGCCATTGGGTAAGTAAATGTTGAGATGACTATAATTTCCTTACGTTACAGAAAAATATTTATTTGTATACATAACGAGCGATATATTTTCAGCTTCTTAGCAGTCCCAAAAATGGCCACAAAAGTTCAGGAGTTTCAAAAAAAAAATATTTTTTTTCGTTGAGAGTAAAACATATTTCACGTTTTAACTCTACATGTTAGCTTTTTATTGTTTATTTTCATTTATATGAGAGTTTTGAAATTTATTTGTATTATGATTCATTGTAACATTCTGATAGGCCTAATTTAGAGTAAGCAAAAATTGTTTCTATAACTAAAGAAAAACAAAAGAGTCAGACGTCATCTGTCACACTTGTAAGTCTTCCGTGGTATGCTGTTTCCTAGGTTAGCATATTATCATAAAGATTCATGGCTTAGGGTTACTCCTATCTCGTAGTAAAAAAATCAAGCACAATACACACCACTATACGGGCAGTATAATAGGAGAAGGACTAGCATTCTTCGAAGTTTCCCTTAATGAACACCGTATAGGGTAGGTAAGAAAGAGCATAAAAAAATAATATTTTTGTTGCTGTTTTTACTGATAGAAACATATACTCAATCCGAAACATGTGTTACAAAGAAGTATGTCTCCAAGAATGGGTAACATATAAAATATTTAGAAGCATTTTGTACTCACAAGGAAACATACGTAATAGGGAATAATGTATCAACTTCAAGGACAAGTAACATATACAGCATTTAGAAGCATCTTGTACTGACAAAGAAACATACGCACATAAGTATGTATCAACCTCAAGAACGAGTAACATATACAACATTTTGAGGCATTTTGAAAAACATACAATAATATGAATTAAACGCAAATAAAAATTCCATTTTACTGCGAAGGAGACAGAAAGAGAAAGAATGGAGCACGACAATAGCGCGTGGTCAACAGATTGCTTATATATCTTATGCGACTCATTACTATCACTAGAAACCGGGTTTCGATACCTGTGGTGGGCAGAGCACAGATAGCCTATTGTTTAGCTTTGTGCTTAACTTCAAACAAACAAATAGAACTATCACTAGACTTTAAAAATACTGGGTATATGATAGAGCATTCTGAAGCTTACTTTACTAATTCTTTAAGACAAGTTTTAGTGCATCTTAATAGGCAGTGTGTAGCTCATCACGGTTGTGCTTGATGTTCTCTGCCAATATCACAACCATAATTAACTACATACTTCAAATGACACATCTCGTTTATAACGTTTTACTACTTCATTAAGAATAATCTATCAGTATTGTAATATACAAGTGCGTTACAAAACAAACCATTCAATGAACTTGCACACTGTCCTAAGAATACTCAATTATAACTAAAGTTTATGTTGATTCTAAGAAGTACTGAGAAGAAAATGTGTGTCTGATTATGTTACTTGGCTCAATTTCTGCCACGAGAGTAAGAATATACTGAAAAAAATCACTATATAGCTGTTAAGCATTGAAATGCAAATAAGTAATTTTTGAAAACTCTGACAAAATAAAAAAATACAAAAAAATGAAAGCATGGTGTCCCATAGGAAATTCATATTATGCCATCTTATGTATGCAATTAAATTTAAGCCGGGAACATTTATTTATTTTTTATGAAAAAGTTCAGGGATTTTTGTTTTCTATAGAATAACACACGGAGTCTTTCATTTACCAACGCTAGAGCTCCACTCACTGGCTGATGTACCTTAGACGATGTAACCCATTTAACTGGTTAACTTTATTCAAATCTTGGTACATTTTCCAACAAAAGATTTTGTATTTCTGCTCGAGTTCAAGAACTGGTAGAGAGAACTCATTGATCTTCCACAAGACCTTGAATCACCTGATATCCGCTTAAAGGATTAAGTTAACGAACAAAAACTAGCGGAGCGCGTTCTCACGAGATTTTCTAATAATGGAAGCCGCTTCGTTGCATTCAATTTCGTGATAAGAAATATGTGTAGTAGATAAAATAGCAACCCCCGTGTTCAGTTAGAGGTTTCTTCTTTTATTGATGAGTTCATGGTTACCAGCGTAACTAGCTTTTAGGTGAGTGTTCTGAAAGGTATAAGTTTTATTAAACTATTTTTTAACACTTAAAATGTTTTAATGTTCAACACTTTCTCAAGAACGCTATCGCTTAAGAAACAAACAAAAAAAACTTGGAGATTACCTCAACAGTACATTTATTTCTGAACCTATACTAAAGGTTATGCAATGATGTAGTTCTCACAAGATTTTGGAGAGTTATATATCATTATTTCTACCAAGTTCCTTATTTATTAAACGTTTAATCACGTTTTTTTGGAAGTATGAACATGAGATATGATTCTACATGAATTCTCAACTTCCAAAACAAACTGTGACTTAAGTACTACACGTAGATTTGGGAATTGTCTTTAAATCAACTAATAAGATAAAACATTTTTCATGTTAAACATTCTGTATTGATACCAGGTTCCTTCTTAAGGCGCTGTATACGATCTTTCCAGTTTATCTTGTATTTGTTTTCGTTCATTTTCTATCTTTTAATAATATTCTAAACATGATATTATTAGAAAACTCACGGATTCTGTTATTTTAATAACATTCCTAATGAACGAGAAAAAATCCAGTTTCTATATAATATATATATGACTGGACTTGTGTGCTCTTTACGACAGTATGACTGTTATAGACACAGCAACATTTTCAGTGGACAGATATCTTTCACGGGCTACTTACTAAGCGAGCTGTCTGTGCAAGTTGTCCAGTGACGACATCCTTAAGCTGTGTAACAAACACGCCCTTAACTGTCCGCTGAAGGGTTGGTAGCTTATTGAATTTTTTTCCATGAGGTGTAGAAAGATGTAAAGTTCCCAAGAGATAAAAACTAACTTAAAATGATACATAAAACTCACATTTGTGGTTATTTCACACCCAGCAAATAATTTCACGCGATGAAGTTACTGAGGTATTCTCCACTAAGAAATAAATCAACGTCTCAGTTCACAATTCTATAGAAGTTTCATAATCAAATAAACATATGGCCTTGGATATATCTTTATACCTTTTCTACGTATTTCGCTTTCCTGATAAGTAGCTGGTAGTTGCAACAACGAAACACATAAAACTGCATTTAAACAATTGTTACGGTTCAATTAAAGGCCAGTAACGAAATAAGCCTATACATTGAGGAAACAGTAGTACCTGTCTATAAGTACAGCTATATCTACGTCACAGTCTAAATTTCGACTGAAAGATAATGCATCATTCACGAAGGTGAGAAAAAGCTTCCCAGAAACACGTTACCATAACTACACCAATAAACAGTTATCAAGAATACCTTAAAAGTTATACAAATCAATCTAGTACAGCAGCGAAACGGGTGCTCGATTTCTTAGATTTAGTCATATTAAGATTAATACTCAATTACACAAATGGGTCAAAAAGTAAAAATATATATACATGAGACATGATAAAGATGATTTTACAAAATAAATGTTCATAATGTGTTATTTAAAATATATGAACTTTCAAGTCTGGTGCATACATAATTATATATTGGAGATACATGTGGGTACATAGATGTATAGGTCCAAATGCTATAACCACCTTCCTATATCTACATGGATAGTTAGCTGATGAGCAATACACCAGTCTGGACTAAGATGAACAAGAAAATACTTTAACATTGCTACATGCAGCAATGTTCAGATTGACTAACATTGCTACATGCTACAATGTTCAGATTGACTAACATTGCTACATGCTACAATGTTCAGATTGTTTTAGCTAGAACTTTTTTTGCCTTTTCGAGTTCCTGAAATATATTTGAAATAAATCTATGACAAACATTAATATCACTGACCTGCGATTCCCATCTCTGACATGCGATCCCTGATTTGGTAATATTAACAGTTCCCTGATAATAGCGCCCTCTTCCATAAATACACTCCGCTAGGAAAAAATACACACACATACATACATATATGTATATATCGACGCATAATTTCTAGCTAAATACTACTTCAAAATACACACTTAAGTTATTAAAACTAGAATATATTATGAATGAACATTTGGTGACTAAAATGTAAGCGTTCTGACGCGGGATATTCAAACCGTCAATGTATTGTATTGTTTTGCAATAATGTCCCGAAAATGATCTGACGTAAAATAATTCTTGTAAAATCTCTCATACGGTGTTTAGCGTTAAGTGAGTCTATAATGAAATTAATTGTTTGTTTATTGTAATTTCATGCAAAACTACACAAAAGCCAGCTGCGCTAGCCGTCCCTAACATTGAAGTGATAGACTAGAGGAAAGACAACCAATCACTAGCCGTCCCTAACATTGAAGTGATAGACTAGAGGAAAGGCAACCAATCAACACAGTCTACTCTTGAGCTACACTAAAAGAACAGTGGGTTTTGACTGTCACTTTTATACCGCATCTACGGCCCCCAAATGTGAAGAACGATATTGTTGTTTGGTGGTAACAGGATGCGAACCAAGGAACCTCATACCCAACCTCTGCCATGCTAACCAGTAAGCCGAACTAGACTCAAAATAATTAGTACCCTAAACCTGTAATGGAGCCTAAGTGTCGTTAAATTAAGTTTTAAACATGGAAAATCCCGTGTTAATTATGGCATTCAATATACATTAGACTAATTCACTACAGAAGGGGCGAACTTTATAGTAAAATACTGGTCAATGGGTTACTTTTAAGCAATAAAATGCATGAATAATTCCGAATGGATACCACACAGCGCAACCAATCGAATTGGATCGGTTCAATAGTCTGAGGTAGGTTTTACTAGTAAAGTACAGAAGAGATGGGCTGCATCTGAACACTAGATGGCGATACCAAACATGCATATGTTTCGAATTTGCTTGAGAGAAAAGCCACATTGGTCTATCTGCTGTGTCCACCGTGGGGCTTCGAACCTCGGAATTTAGCATTGTTAATCCGTAAACTTACTTGGAGACGCACATGCATATGTGCTTGGATGATTATTTTGCTAGTACGTACACATTCAAAAGACACAGTTCACGTTTTTCTTTATCACTGCATCTAGAATTTGCAAAAACAAAAAGCATATTTTATAATTATTATAGCTTTTAGAGCCCAAAATTCAATAACAAAATAAATATTTTTATTGGCATTATATATCAATTACTAGTTGAGGACTGTTAAAAAATTGGACCAATTTTTGCTTTTAAACTTGAATTAACATATTTTAGGTACCACGCTTTTTAAACAGTACTGCTGTAATAGTACCCGAAGTAACTTGTGTTCCTTTTCCCTCACCCCTTATCGCTCCAGAGTTCTAACGACACATAATAATCCAAAACACAATTAACAATAAAAATGAATGTTTATTTTAAAACTAGCGCTTTTAGTTTTGCAACCTTTTTTTCTTTCCTTTATGCATATTTTTTTCACTTATATTAAATGTTTTTTTCAAGCAATATTGTTAGGCCATCTTTTTTTTAAATTTATTTTCTAATCAAATTTAAATTTTTGCCTCTGTTTTTCTTTAAGGTGATTTTAACATTTTTAAAGTTTACTTTTATTAACTTTCGAATCGTGGGATACTTTGGTGAATATTCTGAAATTAAAAAATCATTAATCTCTGTATTTTTAATTTTTGTTAATTCATGTCTGTTAACCTACGTTTACATTTTATGGGTTTGGATGTTGGTAATACATCATTACTTTATTTTTTCTTATACATTACATTAAAATAAAATTTTGTAACATGATGTATTCATCTTTGGGTAAAAATGAGATTATTTAAGTTTTGAAACAGCTATTATTTGATGAAATTTCAAACGCCATCTTATAAAAAGCTACTGCACACGGAAGAGTACAGAGATAAAGAGACCTAAGTGAAGCCACACCAAAAACAAGGTATAAATATATAAGCAATAAGTTAACAAAATTGTGGATAAATGTAATAAAATGAAGAAAAACTTATAGAAGTCAGTTTAAGAAATGTGAAAAATGCAGTGGATAAAATTAGTAAAAAGCATTGAAATAAAAGTACTTCTTTCAATGAATTTAACATCATAAAAATAGGTTGTACTAAGAAACTGTACCAATAAAACTTAAATGTTAAAATCTTGTTTATTTTAATGGTTTTATATGCTTGTATTATATTGAAGAAAAATAAGCAGAAGATTAATCATACTTTATAAGAACAATTTGTATATGGTAATACAGCGGCTGTAGATATAAACTGTGGCTGCATGTTGAAAGAGATGTAAAGCTCGAGATCCTTCAGTTTCAATAATTAATATATCTATAACATCGACGAGAGAAGATGAGTACACCTATATATATGTAAACTACTTAACCAGCATGCCATCACATCTAGGAATACTGTTACCATTGCCAAAGTTCCCAGATTGGTTATCCAGAATCTTTCTCCAGAAGGGTTTCCCCGATGGGTCAGCGGTAAGTTTATGGACTTGCAACATTAAAATCAAAGGTTCAATTCCCCGAGGTGAACAGAACGCAGATAGCCCAATGTGTAGTTTCGTACATCATCCTCACGAAAGTAATTGCTAATAAATTGAAAATTACGCAATTTTGATAAATCACAAATATATTTACCATTTGAAAAGAGCATTAATCACCAGTGTAGAAGATCCAGACATGGTAGTGACAGAAAAATAAAGTGTAGAAAACTGTAAGGTAGACATATTGCAAGTAAAAAACTGAAAATTGTTGCTAACTTGGACGACTATGGCAAGCAACAGTCGATTTGCTACCCCTCCCCCCAAAGTCTACCCAATATAGTGTAAAGAAGGTAAAGAAAGTTTTTGTAAGCATCTAAGGTTGCCACAGATTTTTCATATATTGGGAAATTTGAACTTCACAAAGTTCACAGTAACGCAAAGGTGACCCCATTTTATTTTTATTGACAGTAGAACTCAAAGGTTACATCAGAATAAAGCATCAACTCTACACCAGTGTTTCTACGAACCATGGATAATGAAACCGATGTTCATGCTACTCTCTTGTCTGACATAGCTGTGAAATCGTCTGACGACATACCATGAACTTCTGTAAATTTGGTTTTGTTAAATGTATTGCTGGATGGTCTGTACATGAGAAGTTTGTCAAAACGTGTGGTCTAAGATTGGCTTCGCCGCCATTCAAAGGCTTATTCCATTGGAAATTGCAAAGTTAAACAATAATGCATTGCCATGGCTATTAAACTGAGTTTGATCGACAACTGAGGAAATATTTCCAAGAAGAGCTCACAATCTGGAACATTGTTCTTATAAAATACGATTACATTCCTTTTTTAAGAATTTTATACAAAGAAAAGAAAGAAAAATAAAACATTAATTTTGTATCATACTCTTTCTTTTGTAATTTTCTTAAGTCTTAAGTTGAAAATTTTATTATTCTAACGACATGAAGTTTTGTTTGTTCCTACTTGTAATCTCATCCTCCTTGAACTCCGTTAAGTGTGCCTGAGAACAGAGAGGAACAGAGGAGTTTCCTCGACTGGGGAGGAAATCACACTGTGGTAGTCTGAAATGCCCTCGAGATTGGAAGTAAATGCCCCGTTCTTTGTTATCTTCAATCTGGGCCCACTCATTGTAACAAAAGAGTTCCCGAACTGCAATACAATCTTCCCTGAAAATAAAGTGTGTGTGTGTGTCTGTATATATATAATATTCATATTTCTATTTATATATATATAATATTCAAAGCATCATAGATCTGTCCATATATATATAATATTCAGAGTATCATAGTTCTATTTATATATATATAATATTCAGAGCATCATAGTTCTATTTATATATATACTATTCAGAGCATCATAGTTCTATTTATATATATGATATTCAGAGCATCATAGTTCTACTTATATATATGATATTCAGAGCATCATAGTTCTATTTATATATATATATATATAATTCAGAGCATCATAGTTCCATTTATATATATAATATTCAGAGCATCATAGTTCTGTTTATATATACATATACTATTTAGAGCATCATAGTTCTATTTATATATAAAATATTCAGAGCATCATTTCTATTTATATATATACTATTCAAAGCATCATAGTTCTATTTATATATATAATATTCAGATCATCATATTGTAAATAAACAAATAAATATCATTCACTCCCTCCTTCATAAAATAACACAGACACTACCTTATACTTGGCTACATAAAAAAAAACATTTCGTAGCATTTTTTCTGTTTTAACTCACGCTTTATGCCTGTCAAAAGAACATAATTGTGTTACTTTCTTTTAACCCATACCTCACGAACAACCCATGTTTCATACATCGCAAAATATATTCGATACTCCCCCTTTAACCTATACTTTAGAACCAACAAAATAGCACATCCAGTTTGACAAGTTATCTATTTTTAACTTATTTTTCGTACGACAGATATCAGAAATATATTTTTGTTTGATACTATATTTCACTCCGAGCTCACTAAGGAACACAAGTAGTTTGTTCGATACTCTTTTACTCCGTTAGTCTAACTTCATATCGTATAGTGGACACATCTGTAAACATACACGCTTCAAAAGTTAGTAGATACTAATACGTTGCTTAATTACCTGTTTTAGATCAAATTTATATACAAAAAATCCTGTCACTTACCTACACAGTTCTTTCCCCGTTTGAAAACTGTTCACGAGATGACACTGTGGGAAGGCGTAAGCACACAAAAGTTGTTCAGCAGCAGTGCGACAAGGTTCCATCAAAGAAGATATGAGCTCTTCCCACAAGTCACGTGTAATTTCTTCATTAATCCCCGGTGTTGTGTCACTAAAGTTGTAGTATATAAGCCCTGAATTATTCAGGTATGTCCTACACACCTTGCCAAAGTACGGAGAGCAATAACCTTGTGGCTCTTTGGTCTTTGCATCAAATATTTCTTCGTCCAGTTCTTCTTCAATTCGTAGTTCTTCAGTGCCAATTTCCTTTTCCGGTTCTTTAAATAATCCGATTTTGGGAGGAAAAAAAAATGTTTTTGCTATTACAAGTGAAACAATTACAACACGAGAAATAATGTTTTTCTCAGGACATTACTTTCAGGCAATTATTTAATTTAGTGAGTGGAATATTATATCCTGGTCTAATTACCTAAAGTAGTTGTTAACAAACAATGAGTTGCTTTGAAAATAATATAAGTTACGAATAGATATATATAACACAAAAGAATAACGATATTGCACGTGGTTTCAGGTAAGTGCCTTTCTTCATATTTAAATCACAGGTCACAAGTATGTATTTACCAGATTTGAATACAAAGTGAATGACAATGTTTAGTGGTATAGTCAAATGAGTTGAAAAAGTTCTGGCCAATAAAATCAAATGGACCTTTTTACTGATGTGAAAATTAAGTAAGTGATATTTAAATTTATTAATACACTAACCTTGTTTCGTAAAAAATGTTGATGATAAAACGTACTGATTTATTTACTTGGTTTGTAAAGATCTATGACAAGAGATGATTAAGTTAATTTGTCTGAATAAGAAAGTGGACAATATATAGTTTAGTTGTTTAGTTAATAGGTTTTGTTTGATAGTCTAGTTATTAGATCAATTGTCTCTAAGAGAGAAACTGACATACTAGTTCATTTAGTTGGTTTTAGAGCAACGTGAATGATAAACTGGTGGATTTGTTACGTACTTTGGAATAAGGAAATGATAAATTATTAGGCTTAATCACCGGGCTTTCAAATAATGTAAATCATAAGCTACTGGTTTAGTTGTCTCAAGAAGACCATTAATGATAAAGCACAGTAGTTACCTGATTTTGGAAGGACGTGTATGGTAAACTCTTTGCTGTCTGACATCGTTTGATTGGTACTTCTTAATCGATTGACTGCTTGACATGTGAACAAAGAAGACTCTGTAACGGTGAGGGACAAAATGGAATGGAAAAACTCTGGCTTCTTAGTAGGTAGCTACAAGTGGTAAAAATAAGAAAAATATTTTTTGTTCCTTCTAACCTTTTCGCGATTTTCTTGTATTGGAAGAGTCAAGCTATTTTACTTCTACTAATACAATCAAATGTGTTAAGTTTCGTATCAGTCTTAAACGACTACGTTGGTTACAAAAATCAGGCAAATTAAACCATAATTAAAAACTTTAACAACTGATTTTCATAAACAAAAAAAGCTATAGTTATTGTAATCACTAACAACGGCTAAAATTATAAATATCCTTTTGGAATTAAAACTTGTACGAGTTAGAAAAGAATTATTATGGTCTTATATTTCTATAAATATATAATTATAGGTAAGATAATCTACATATCCCTAAATTACATATGTTCATACAGAAAACTACATAAACATGTTTCCATTCTAACTAGATAACATTTATAAAATTATAATCATCATTTACGATTCAAGTTTTTACGTTGGATATGAAACAAAAAAATGATTGTATATAATAACTTGCCATTCCTCTACTACCGTATTCATTATTAACAGCCCCCTCACGAGCCAGTGGGGGACATTTTTGTTGAAAAAAATAAGAACCCAATCCGGTTTTTCTTAATTTGAACTGAACTTTTTTTGGCTAAAAAGGAGGCATTTTCCACACTCTTTTAGTTGTGGACCTGCGAAAATGATCTGAACTGGTAAGGTTACTGAAATCCTTCAGCGTATCACGAGCTTAACGGCCAAACACAAGAAGCATGGAAGTCTCCAAATGACATTTAGAGCCTCCTTGGTAGATATTGTGCAGCAAGCCGAGTACAATATTATGCCTGTAGCTGCTTTCAAAGTGTTTCTGTCTACTCGTCCTACTGCTGACTATCGTGATGCTTCGCCCTTTCCTACCGAATCGCAGGTGAAATCGTTCGTATTTAAGTTGAAAGCTAAACGTAAAAAAGGTGATAGCAGAAGCATAAAAGGTTGCTGTATTTCACTTAAAAATTTGTCAATTAACAAACGAAAACTTGTCTTGAAGTTGTCTCAAAAAGATACGTTCAAATCTACCATATTTGGGAGTTTCTGGATTGAACTTGGTTCCTGAGGAACTTGTTAAAAATGATTTACAATTTGCATTGCATCTATTTAATCATTCATCTTTTAAAAATATCAACGTTCAAAGAAGTCGACATACTACTAAACTTGCCTTTTTTTATAAAATATAACTTAATTGCCAAGAACTGAATATTAGGAGAATAAATTTTAAGTGGAAACGATTCAAAGTGAGATTAAATACATGATAACAATTATGAATGATCTGTTTACACAAGACTTTATTTGGTAAGAAGTAATAAAAAAGGCCTGATATCTATGCTATAGGTTGCTAGAAATAGACTCTTCCTCCGGTGGCTCAGCGGTAAGCTTAAGGACTTATAATGCTAAACTGGCGGTTCCATCCCTGCGATGGGCAGAGCGCATCTACTCATGGTTCAACTTTGTGCTTAAAGAAAAGAAATAAACAAAACAGTAATAAATAGAAAACTGGGTTTATGTAGTAATTATACTTTATTATTCTTGATATATTCAACTTTTTTGTTCGCAGTACTACCGAAAAAGGTTTTAGCCATACAAAACAAGCTCAAACCATAAGGTTAGGTGTGATTCATCATAGTAGAAACAACCGACAAGGGTAGGTGTGATTGATCATAGAAGAGACAAACTACAAGTGTAGGTAATTTATTTATCGTAGGAGAAACAAACCATAATGGTAGATATGATTGATCATAGGAGGGACAAACCATAAGGGTAGGTGTGATTTATCACAGAAGAAACAACCCACAAGGGTAAGTGTGATTCATCATAGAAGTGACAAACCAGAAGGGTTGGTATGATTGATCATAGGAGAGACAAACTACAAGTATAGTTGTGATTCATCATAGGAGAAACAAACCATAAGGGTAGATGTGATTGATCATAGGGGGGACAAACCATAAGGGTAGGTATGATTCATCATAGAAGAGACAAACCATAAGAGTAGGTATGATTCATCATAGAAGAGACAAACCATAAGAGTAGGTATGATTCATCATAGAAGAGAGAAACCAGAAGGGCCGGTATGATTGCTTATAGGAGGGATAAACCACAAAGGTTGGTAGGTATGATTGATTATAGGAGGGACAAACCATGAGGGTAGAGGTGATTGATCATAGGAGGGACAAACCATAAGGGTTGGTATGATTGCTTATAGGAGGGATAAACCACAAAGGTTGGTAGGTATGATTGATCATAGGAGGGACAAACCATAAGGGTAGATGTGATTGATCATAGGAGAGACAAACCATAAGGTTAGATGTGATTGATCATAGGAGAGACAAACCATAAGGGTAGGTGTGATTCATCATAGAAGAGAGAAACCAGAAGGGCCGGTATGATTGATTAGGAGGGATAAACTGTAAGGGTAGATATGACTAATCATAGGACGAACAGAACATAAAGGTATGTGTGTTCATAGGAGAGAGAAACGTAAAAATAGCCGTCCCCTGTCAAAAGTGAGCTTCTATAACATCTCGTTGTCAGACTAGAATGTGGCTTAAGACATTTTCTCTTGTCAGACCCATGTCATATTGATAAAAAATCTCGTCATTTCTAGATTTGTTCATATAGACTATGCTTCGAAAGCTTCTTTTCCAATATTCAGCGCTTTCTGAGTTATCATCAAATTTGGTAAACAAGAAAAAACAACATTAATAACATCAGAAAAAAAATGGTAGAAAAATCGAAGTTCATAACTACATTCCATATTCGCAAACTCTTTGGTAATTTTGTTTTGTTCACGTTACGCCCACACATAGGTACCTTAAACCAGTTAAGTATATGTAAGTATAATAAAAAAAAAGAATAACAAAAAATGAAACAGGCTGAAGTAAAGATGCTGGTGGAATGTCTACTAGCACTGCTCTTAGAGAGAGAGAGAGAGAGTTTGAAAATTGTATAAGCGACGTTATTCCGTATGAGGCACATGCGAGGCGCATACGTTGTCTTAGAAGTGGTAAGTAATATTGATCGAAATGGCATTTCATTGAGTGAAGAGAGTCTTGGTGTGTTGGAATGATAACATATATTCACCGCATGAAAAAAAACCTAACTAGTTGTTAGTATTAAAGCCATGACAATTACCTAAGTTGGAATAAATAGTCAATAATTAAAGAGGCCAACATTTGCGGGCGAATGCAACATGTCTCCGCCACGCAATCCCAACATGACCAACTTTGATACCAGAAAAATCGTGAATAATACGAAAAAAATCCAAAACTATCTATATCACTGCTTGGGACCTGCAAAAAAAAGGTATCTTTGTACCAAATCTCATGTAAGTTGGTCAAAATATGACCGAATAAAAAAACACACAATTATGCTTTTTTGTGAGCTCTGACATTCCCTAAAAACACTCAAAATGGAAAAATCAAACTTTTTTGTATGTCAATGTGTTAGGCGCATGAGAATATAATTTCGTGCCAATTTTCATCTTGCAAATATGACCGCATAGGAGTCCAAAATTTACATTTTGGGGTTGTTTGATCTTTGACCCCATAAAGCCCCCCCCCCCACCAGTGGCACAGCGGCATGTCTGCGGACTTACAATGCCAAAAATCAGGTTTCGATACCCGTGGTGAGCAGAGCACAGATAGCCCATTGTGTTGCTTTGTGCTTAATTACAGAAAAAAAAAGACTCCATATAATCCTTAATAAGGTGTAAATCAAAAAACGAATAGATATCTGAGTGTATTGCACCAAGGTTTAACCCAACCAAGTTTTAAGTTAATCCACTGAGATATGAAGGAATGGCGGTCAATTACAAAGTGCTTGGAAGAAGAAGAAACAGTATGTATCTCTGGGGAGACATAAAAAGTCTTGCTATTTAGTCTGGCAGCAAGACTCACAGAAAACGTCTTGTTATTTAATTAAACAATGAAACTTTCTTATGGAAACTGCTGCATATATCATTAAATCCGTTAGATAAATGGACAAAAGCATTTCTGGACTAACATGGCGCGGAAGGACCATTGACATCTGAATTGTAGCCTTCGGGTTTAACATCAAAACAGGGTGTACTGTCTACATTAGGACTGTCATTTTTAGGCTATTTTTTCTTTTGTAACCAAGTAACAGCTGAATATAACAGAAGTGGTATTTATATTATAACCCCGATGTTAAATAAACACTAGATGCGACCCATTTTAGAGCCCTATTTTAAGTACTTTCACTAGCAGTCCAATAAAAAATAAACTTGACAAATTGATATACTATCTACATTAAAAATCTCATCTTCAGTATTTTCATATGTAACCCAGCAACAGAGGGGAATAACAACTTGATGTTCTATATATATTAGAAACCCCATATTAACTACTTTCCTACATAATCCAAGAACAGAGGAACAAACCGCTTGATGTTCTACATATTTTAGAAACCCCATATTAAATACTTTCATGCATAATCCGATAACAGAGGAACAAACCGCTTGATGTTCTATATATTTTAGAAACCCCATATTAAATACTTTCATGCATAATCCGATAACAGAGGAACAAATCGTTTGATGTTCTATATATTTTAGAAACCCCATGTTAAACACTTTCATGCATAATCCAAGAACAGAGGAGCATAACAGCTTTTTATTATAAATAGCGTAGAAACCCCATATTAAATACTTTCACGCATAATACAGAACAGAGGAGCAAACCGCTTGGTTTTCTATATATATATATATATATATAATCAAAAACACCTTAGGGGTGAAAAAAGATTCGGCCAAAAAAAATGGATTCAGCGTGTGACTTAAAGGAATGAAATCAAAATTAGCGGCCAAACTGTTAGCAACACTTATAGTATTGATAATAATTTTACAACTAATATATTCATTCATTAGTCAGCTAGGCCGTGTTTTTTTTGTTCAACTTTGGGCATGATGGTGGGTAAAATAATTGATAAATAATGAATAAATACTTGCTGTAAAATTATTTCTATTTTTTTAAAATGGTAATCTTAATCTTTGTATTTTTAACCCTAGGATCAATAGTGTTCTTGCCTTTCCTCAAGGGGAAGTGACCTGTGAAAGTTAATTAAAATGTGAAGTTTAGAACTCAAGTTATCTTGGGGAAAGTAGACGTCTACAAACTGCTAGATGGGCGGACAACGTCATCACTATATTCCCCAAATCTTTTCGGTTGGGGAGTGGGGTAACATGAAATCATCTTAGCGTTTTGAAAACTCAAAACTCATTTCGTGGTATTTAGTTACTTGGCGCCACTCATTCTAGTATTCAAATGTTCCATATCTACGACGTCACACGTCTTATTTTACTAATAAAACATTGATATAATCATTCATACTTGCCACGATGTAAAAAAAAAAAATTGTGTAACTGGAGTTTCGGTTTATTATTTAGTTAATCATTTAATTGCAGATATATCTTTACTAATATCCTCTTTTTATGAATTGACCATATCATCTGTGTTTATTTCGACCATTAACAACATTAATTTGGTAATCCTTAACTCTAATATACTAAATATTCCAACCAAAATTTAAAAGTCAACGTTTTTTTTTGTTTAAATTTCAATTAGAAACATTCTTTTTTTTTGCACATAATAAAAAATCATGTGAATTCTGTTTGCTTCTAGTTAAGCACAAAGCCACACAATGGGTTATCTGTGTACTGCCGCTCCCCAGTGGCACAGCGGTATGTCTGCGGACTTACAACGCTTTAAACCGTGTTTCGATACCCGTGGTGGGCAGAGCATAGATAGCCCATTGTGTAGCTTTGTGTTAAACTCCAAGCAAACAAACTGTGCGCTGCCCAGCACGGGTATCGAAACCCGGTTTCTAGCGTTGTAAGTCCGCAGACATACCGCTGTGCCACTAAAGGGAGGGGGGAGTGAATCATGTGAAAAAATTAGTTTTCATTATCGATTGATTCGATGCTACGTCAGAATGTTACCCTTTTTATGGTATGTATTAACTACAGATAGGCGTCTTAGGGCTGAACTTACATGAGTTAGAACCATCATGAAACTAGCTCCAGACACGTGAACCGATGTTAGACTCATGTTTACCTGCTGGAGGTGTAGTTTTGTTGATTCTACATTTTCCACGGAACACAGTCGATGCTGCGTTACTCGATACATTGCAAAAATGTTATTACAAAATTAATTGTTAAAGGAATTGAGATCGATAAAAGCATATTTGAGGAATAAACATCAAGCACATGTTAAAATCGTCCCTCCCAAAATCACGTGTAAATATGTGGTAAGTTAATATTTGCACCTTCTGGGATTTGAGCCCGAGTCCAATGATGTGAGCTCTCGAACAATCACGTTAAAACGTTAACATAATAACTGCTGTTAATATGTGATCTTTCTCACTACTTGATTATCATAAAAATGAGTATCTGCCGGGAAGACAGAAATAATATGTAAATAACGTGTACATAATATAAGAGAATGTTATCTTTCCAAAAAAACATTACGTAAGATGCACCTGAAAAACTTGGCGAGATAAAGTTGGAGATCTCGTTTCTAAAGGCTTCTCTTCCCTATGATAAACCTTAGCAAAAACATAATGTAGTCCACTTTTGACGATCTATTGATTTTCTTATCGATTAGTAGTTTCTTGCATACTTAATACCGACAACACTTTTCTTAGTTTTCTGAAGCCAAATTTTACACTAAGAATACTTTTTGAACAATAACAATTTATTTTGCACATTTTCCACTCATTGAAGAGATTTCATTGGAATACATAAAAAAATACTTACCTTTTTACCATTTCGGAACCAGATAATTCTCGGCGGTGGCGCCCCCTGCGTTGAGCACACTAACTCCACTAAAGAACCCCATGTAACATTGTAGATGGTTCTTCCACCCTTGATGTACGGTGGAACTGGAAATAATGAAAATATTTAGGTACGTACAACCTGTAAGATCCGACCTGTGCAGCTAAACAAGTATTATTATAAAGCTCACAGTCCATGTATGATAATATTTTCATTAATAAGTAATACATTTGTTTTGTCAAAATAATCTTTTAAGACTTATTTAATGAAACACTTAAAATCTACAGAATCAGAATAATGTCTCAGCTGCAATATTTTATGGCAATGCAGTGAAAATACGGGTAATTGTTAAATCTTTCTACTACTATTCAATAACACTGATTGTCAATAAATATTTTAGAAATCAAAACGAAAGGATTTATGTATGCGTAACAGAACTGTGAATCGGGTTATTTATTCTGTAAAAACAGTTTGTTCTCAAGATTTAGATCGACGTTCTTATAGCGACAGCGTCAAAGAAACAATTCTGCATATCCACAAAACCAAAGAATAACACGAAACGCATTAAATGGAATTATGCTTACTCTACTTGAATAAGTAGTGAATATATGTCAACATTACACAAAATAAGAATCGATATTAGAAACTAGCTCAATATTTTCAATAGGTTTTTTCTCATAAAAATTTCTTATATGAACTAACTCATAAAAATTCTACACTACCCTTTTGACGATAAAATTGTGGCACTTATTAGTTAACACAATTATAAATGTTACAGACCAATAACAACTAAAAACCTGTTCTAATAAATTAAAAAAAAACAGTTTTAAAGAATCAGTCTGCAGTCATAACCCGGACTTTCTGTATTGACCAGAGCAATGCGGTGAAAATGTCATCTCAGAAGGACCATTGTAGTCTATTTTGTCCTTGAAAATTGTGCAGGATATATAATATACCTCGCCGTTTCTCTACTTATATATACTGAAAGTTCAATATGTTTGCAACCGCTTTAATGTTTTCACGCAGTTGTTAAACAGGTACGTTACGCAAGGATGTTCAGAGACTTAACGGTATCAGTTATTTCTGGTGATTACCTAAGTTATTTAGGGAGTTGATGGGATATTTAATTATGACACACCCCACAGTACAATTTCAGGTTGATAAATATTTACGATAGTAGCCGTATGTTAACATGATTGCATGATTTATATTTATTTTATCTTTAAAGATAATTCAAGTTATTTTTTCAAGTAGTAGGCCGCGTTCTTCAAAGTATACAGAATATTTGGTAAAGCAATTAAAATCAAGTTAAAAATAACAACGTTAGTTTGTTCCAATCTCCCCCTTTTCTTATCCCCGCCTATCAGCTCACGATCATACATTATAATTTCATATTATTAAGTAACTTGTTTTTAAACATCGTGTTTACAACGTGGAGTTTCAAATTATGAGCGAGAATCACTGTATCAATCGATGTTTTAATAGCATAAGTTTTTCTTCGTATTTACAGAAAAATATTAACGTGTGTTCTCTAGTAAAACAAAATCTCTGAATATGTGTGTTATACAAGTAACTAATTGTGCAGTATTGCAGCGGTTATGAACAAAATCCCCCTCGAGACAGAAAACCTACCAATTTCACAGTACCTAAACTCAATTGTGAATTAAGTTCGTTACTGGTCATGCGTGAATTAATACATCAGACATGTTTATTCAGGCTAGTTGATTACAAACTACCCTACACAATGAAATACATTACATGTTTTTCATAGCTGTGTATCAGCAAGAAGATATAATTAAATTATCTGTCTCCTCAGTATCAAGTTTCGACGTCTTTGTTAATTATATACTCAAAAATCATTATTTTATTGAAGTTTAACTAAGAAATAGTTTTAAAAAGTTACCGGTAATTATTTTAAACAAGATTAAAAAGAACGAGCATTCTTAAACAACTAAAATTGTTTAAAAATATTTTTTTTTTACCGTTTGAGAATGTAATTATGTAATCTTCCTTACTTTTGATGCTCTAAATTTCTCTTGAAACTAAAACATTCATTTAAACATAATGCAATTTTATAGCGTAAAAATACTGATTTTCTGCCAGTAAATCGTTAATCAATAGCTAAGAACACATAGTAATATACTATATGCGTGCATGGTTATTTTGCTTTACAATGCAGATAAAATTCCAATTTTAATCCAAAGGATCCCTACACGTATGGAAACCACCTTGGAGGAAGCTATATGTGACAGGCATAAAAGTTTACCTTGTTTATTTTTGTTGTATGAATATTGAAAACTGCTTTAATTGAATAAGAATTTTTATTCTAAATACAAGCGAAACTAGAGGTATATTAAAAGCGTTGCTAACTTGAAAGATTAATGAATTTTTAACTCAAAATACAAATACTTGTAGAAAGCGGGTTGTTTCTGAAGCTTTTTACTATATATTTTATTGAATACACGAAAAATAATGCATCACCTTATTTTGTGTGATTTATTAATTAGATAGTGAAAGTGTATTAAAAACATTTACATGTTGATACCTAAAGATATATATAAACTTTCAACCTGAAAACATTTATACTGTCTTGACGCATTCAAGGCTGAAACTAGAAACTTCACGCTTCAATAGGTAAATGAATATAGACGAAATTTTATAAAAGAAACATTTTCATAATTTTTAACTTTAACTAAATAAAAGAGAAACTTGTGACAAGAAACATTTATGATTTAACATCTGAATACACATGTGGTTAGACTGAAAGCTTATGAATATTTTAAATGAGAAAAAACTTGTGATTTATCAATTAATAGTGAAAGCAAAAACGAATGTGTTAACCTAGAGCACATGAAACTGTGAAACAGAAGCATAATGCGTCACCTTATGTTTTGTGATTTATTAATTAAATAGTGAAAGTAAAAACGAATGTGTTAACCTAAGGCACGTGAAACTGTGAAACAGAAGCATAATGCGTCACCTTATGTTTGTGATTTATTAATTAAATAATGAAAGTAAAAACGAATGTGTTAACCTAAGGCACATGAAACTGTGAAACAGAAGCATAATGCGTTACCTTATGTTTGTGATTTATTAATTAAATAATGAAAGTAAAAACGAATGTGTTAACCCAAAGCATATGAAATTGTAAGGGGTTACCTTAAAATGTATGAAGATATAAACAGATAAGGCGTATTATTTATTAACCTAAAACTACACATAAGTTTCAACAGGAAATATATAATAACAAATATATAGCAAAGTTAGCGTGAGAAATATTTATATCTATCTGGAAGTTTAAACTAAAATTACCTATGATTAAATTAATGAGTGCATATGTTTAAACTGAAAATATTTTACATACTTTTTTACTTAAAACTTAACAAAGTTAAAGCTAGAAACTTAAAATTTTGAGTCATAAACGCGATTTACCAAATGAAAACACGTAAAGGTTTAAACTAGAAGAACTAAAGATTTGTAAAACTAACACGTAGGAAAGTTTAAACTCAAAATTCTGATAATTCTCTATCTGAATGCATATAGAATTTGTTCACTCAATACACGTGACGCGTTGTTTACTGAATCTAAGATAACCTAAAAAGATAATATGTTTTCAATTGTAGCTCTTCCGCGTTGTAATTTTGAAACCAGGTTTCGCACATTTTGGATAAGGTATGTTTGTTCGTTTGTTTCTGAAGAATTTTGAACTGATTAAACTGATAAATTTAACTGATAAACTAGAAGGAAGCTAGAAAACAGCACCACCTTAGCTCTGGGACTATTCTTGTCTGATAGGGTAATGAGATTTGACCATTACTGTTACAGTGCCCCCCACGACCTCAAGGTGCGGAGTGTGATTCTTTGGGTAACGAGATGTGGATCTGAGCCCTCAGAAAAACAATTGGAGTACACTTACCATTAAGTCACACCTGACCCTAAAAGATAATTTAGGCGGCGATTACATAATTCATTGCCCACTTCTTTATGAACACCGACTGAAATAATGTTTAAAGTAGTTGTGATATGAAATGTACCCGGTTATTGGCTTATAACGATCAGCTACTAATAATCTGAAATGTACCCGGTTATTGGCTTATAACGATCAGCTACTAATAATCTGAAATGTACCCAGTTATTGGCTTATAACGATCAGCTACTAGTATTCTGAAATGTACCCAGTTATTGGCTTATAACGATCAGCTACTAGAAGTGCCATTTCAGCTCAAGTTACAGCAAATTTGAACAATTCTTAAGCCAGTGATGTCGCAGTCCTTTTTTTATACGCGTGAAATAAAATTAACATTTTAGAGTGAAGGAAATACGATTAAATAAATTAGACTGCTGCATTCATGAACGATAAAGCAAACGCGACCGTTTAGTAAGTTTTCATGTCCAATGAAGGTTGTTTTTTTCTGATATTACCTTTGTACTGAAGTAATTAAAAAGCCAGTGTAATATTATAAATCTAAAATTATCTGTATAGCCTTAATATACTCTTTAAAATAAAATATTGAAGACATTTTTTGACAGGTTGGCCCGCGTCAGTTGTATTATGAGTACCAGCTGTTCGCTGGGGGTTAACCTACGATGAAAAATGGCACCCGTCCAGGGGGAATGGGTCGCCATTCTCATCGGCTTGTGCAACTTAAAACAGGAGTTCGAAAGCACTGATCCTATGCTCCTTGCAAAGGTGAAACTTAAAACAGGAGTTCGAAAGCACTGATCCTATGCTCCTTGCAAAGGTGAGACAATGGTTTAACTAATTCTAGCCATAATTTACTACTGAAGATTTTTTATGATTCATGTAAATATATTACTAACTAACAATGTTGTCATACACGTTTTTAAAATTTTCGTACTCCTGAACTTTAAGTTTTCTTCGTGCTTTTAGAAGTTTTGAGAATGTTAAGATAAAGTAACATTCTCTGAAAGTTTCCTGCATATGAACATACACGACAAGAAGTTTTATTGTGTTTTTTATTCATTACTGCATAATTTGTAAAAACTGCAACTTTACAGAGGTTGTGTTTACCTTTTCGGAAGTCAAATGATACCCAAGAGGCACCGCGGCAATGAGGAGATAGAAGTGAAAATATCAGTTTAATGG